CAATAACACAAATCGCAGAAACCCTACAAACTCATGGAGATTGAACAATGCACAATTGCACCATCCCTGGGTAAAGGAACAAATAAAAAAGAAATTAAAGACTTCCTCGATTTCAATGAGAATGAAGACACAACATACACAAACTTATGGGACACTTTGAAAGCAGTGCTGAGAGGAAAGTTTATAGCACTAAGTGCCCACATGAAGAAACTGGAGAACAGTCATACTAGAGAATTAATAGCACAGCTGAACGTTCTAGAACAAAAAGAAGCAAACTCACCCAGGAGGAGCAGACGCCAGGAAATAATCAAATTGAGGGCTGAAATCAATCAAGTAGAAACCAGGAAAACATTGAGAAGAATCAATGAAACAAAGAGTTGGTTCTTTGAGAAAATCAACAAAATAGACAAACCTCTGTCCAAACTAACCAAAAGACAGAGAGAGAACATGCTAATTAACAAAATCAGGGATGAGAAAGGGGACATAACAACGGACTCTGATGAAATCAAGAGAATCATCAGGGCATACTTTGAAAATCTGTACTCCACAAAATTTGAAAATTTAAAGGAAATGGACAATTTCCTGGATAGATATCACTTGCCAAAACTAAATCAAGAACAGATAAATAATCTAAACAGACCTATAACCCCTAATGAAATAGAAGCAGTCATCAAAAGTCTCCCAAACAAAAAAAGCCCAGGCCCAGATGGCTTCAGTGCAGAATTCTACCAGAAATTCAAAGAAGAGCTCATTCCAATACTCGTCAAAGTATTCCACACTATAGAAGCAGGAGGCTCACTGCCAAACTCTTTCTACGAGGCTACAATTACCTTGATACCCAAGCCACACAAAGACACAACTAAGAAAGAGAACTATAGACCAATTTCCCTCATGAACATTGATGCAAAAATACTCAATAAAATACATGCAAACCGGATTCAAGAACACATCAGAAAAATCATCCACCATGATCAAGTAGGTTTCATTCCAGGAATGCAGGGATGGTTCAACATTAGAAAATCTATCAATGTAATCCACCATATTAACAATCTGCGAAAGAAAAACCACATGATCATCTCACTAGATGCTGAAAAAGCCTTTGACAAAATCCAGCACCCCTTCATGATAAAGGTCCTAGAGAGATCAGGGATAACAGGAACGTACCTGAATATAATAAAAGCAATATACAGTAAACCAACAGCTAACATCAAACTAAATGGAGAGAAACTCAAAGCAATTCCTCTAAAATCAGGAACAAGACAAGGCTGTCCACTCTCTCCATATCTCTTCAATATTGTACTTGAAGTTCTAGCTACAGCAATAAGACAACAAAAGGAGATAAAGGGGATACAAATAGGAAAAGAAGAAGTCAAACTTTCATTATTTGCAGATGATATGATAGTTTACATAAGTGACCCAAAAAACTCCGCAAGGTTACTCCTAGAGCTGATAAACACCTTCAGCAATGTGGCAGGATACAAGGTAAACTCAAAAAAATCAGTGGCCCTATTATATACAGATGATGAAGTGACTGAGAAAGAAATCAGAGAAACATCACCTTTTACAATAGCCAAAAACAGCATCAAATATCTGGGGATAATGTTAACCAAGGAAGTGAAAGACCTGTATATCAAGAACTTTGTGTCTTTGAAGAAAGAAATCAAAGAAGATACCAGAAAATGGAAAGATCTCCCATGCTCTTGGATTGGTAGGATCAACATAATAAAAATGGCAATCTTGCCAAAAGCAGTCTATAGATTCAATGCAATCCCTATAAAATTCCATCACAATTCTTCAAGGACCTGGAAAGAACATTAATCAACTTTATATGGAAAAACAAAAGGCCCAGGATAGCCAAAACATCCCTATACAATAAAGGAACTTCAGGAGGCATCACCATACCTGACTTCAAGCTCTATTATAGAGCTATAGTCCTGAAAACAGCTTGGTATTGGCACAAAAATAGGCAGGTAGACCAATGGAACCGAATCGAAAGCCCTAATTTTAACCCACACACCTATGAACACCTAATTTTTGACAAAGAAGCTAAAACTGTACAGTGGAAAAAGAAAGCATCTTCAACAAATGGTGCTGGCATAACTGGGTAGTGGTATGCAGAAGACTGCAGATAGATCCATGTTTATCGCCTTGTACAAAACTTAAGTCCAAATGGATCAAAGATCTCAACATACATCCAGCCACACTGAAACTTTTAAAAGAGAAAGTGGGAGATACTCTTCAACGAGTTGGTACAGGAGACCACTTCCTAAACATAACACCAGTGGCACAGGCACGGAGATCAACAATTAACAAATGGGACCTTCTGAAACTAAAAAGCTTCTGTAAGGCAAAGGACACAATCAAAAAGACAAAAAGGCAGGCCACAGAATGGGAAAAGATATTCACTAACCCTACATCTGACAGAGGGCTAATCTCCAAAATTTACAAAGAACTCAAGAAACAAGTCTCCAAAACACCAAAGGATCCACTTGAAAGGTGGGGTACAGAGCTAAATAGAGAATTCTCAGTAGAGGAGGCTAAAATGGCCAAGAGACACTTAAGAAAGTGCTCAACATCCTTAGCCATCAGGGAAATGCAAATCAAAACAACTCTGAGATACCATCTTTCTCCTGTCAGAATGGCTAGAATCAAAAACACCGAAGACAATTTATGCTGGAGGGGATGTGGAGAGAGAGGAACACTCCTCCACTGCTGGTGGGAATGCCAACTCATACAGCCTCTTTGGAAATCAGTATGGAGATTCCTCAGGAAAATGGGAATTACTCTACCACTAGACCCAGCAATTCCACTCTTAGGCATTTATCCAAATGAGGCAGGTTCATACAACAAGGGCATCTGCTCCACTATGTTCATAACAGCATTGTTTGTAATAGCCAGAACCTGGAAGCAACCTAGATGCCCCTCAACTGAAGAGTGGATAGAGAAAATGTGGTACATTTACACAATGGAGTATTACTCAGCAGAAAAAAACAATGGAATCTTGAAATTCGCAGGGAAATGGATAGCACTGGAAGAAACCATCCTGAGTGAGGTAACGCAGTCGCAAAAAGACAAACATGGTATGTACTCACTCATATATGGATTTTAGATATTGATCAGGATAGTGCCAGTCTGCACTTCCACAGATAGAGAGTCTGGGAAACAGGAAAGAACCTAAAAGATATGCATATATGCATAGTACCCAAGAGAAGAGGATGGAGACAAGATCCTCTGAATGGATGGGGAACAGGGCAAGGGGGGGGGTAGTGGGACCTGGGAAGAATAGAGGGGGTAAAGAGGAAGGGAGTTGGTCATGGGGGAACAGGAAGTTGAGGGGGCGGGGGTAGAATAGGGGGAAGAGGGAATCATAGGATCGAAGACAGATCAGGCACCAGAGTGACCTCGAGTGATCTAAAGGTATAACATCAATTGGCAAGCTAAGCAATAGTGGAGGGACCACCTCGAATGCCCATTCCTGATAATGAACTTGATGTCTATAACTATCCGGGAGCCTTCATCCTGGGACTGATGGAAGCAGAGGCAAACACACAACTAAGCACTGAACTGAACCCAAGGAACCCAGTGACAGAGAGGAGTGATGAGCAAATTGGCAAAGAATGGGCTGGCAAAACCAGCAGAGACAGCTGATCTGAACAGGGGAGTGCTCTTGGACCCCAGAAAGACAGTGGGGAGGCCAGCATGGGACTGATCTGGACCCCCCCAAATGTGAGTGCCAGTGAGAAGGCCTGGACAACCTATGGGGCCCTGAGCTGTGGATCAGTGTCTATCCCTGGTATACAATCTGTCTTCATGTGCCTATAGCACAAAGAGAGATGCTCTCTCAGCCTGGACTCTTAGGGGAGTGCCTTGACCCTACCAAGAGTAAAATGATAGACTCTAGACATCCCCTATGTGGAAGGATTTGGCAATAGGGTGGGAGGGAGGGTGGAAGGGGAGTGCGGGAGGACGGGAGGGAGAGGGAACTGGGATTGACATGTAAAACAAGCTATTTAAAATTAAAATTAAAAAAAAAAACTTAAAATAGCAAAAAAAAAAAAAAAGAAGATAGAAGACGGTTTGCAAATGCTGTTTTCAAAGACTTCGACTATGGTCTTCCAATCCTTGTCCTCTCAAATGAAAGAATTCACAAACACATAGTTTAAGTGAAAATTTATTTAGTAAAGCAAACCAAACCAAGCATTCTAAAGAGAGATTTGATAAACTGCATCCAAGTCTGCAAGCAGTCCAGTAGGTTTTATGCTGTAGGATTTAAAGAAGTTTCATGAATACCTAGGAGGCACATAACCTTAATAGGGTAGGGACATCGATTTTCTGTCCCCAGATATAGTGACCCAGATCTTCTTTTGAAAGCATTTCCTCCCATGACCCTCCCAAGCAACTGAGCATGGAAGTTTTAAAATACAGTTAGTGGTGTCAAAATGAAGTCAGGAACTTTTGAGGCTATAGACAATTCCTTGGAGCTTGTTTGGCAAGTGGGAAACTGCCTTAGTTCTCAACACAGAGGGAACAATCTAAGCTCCCCTGAAGGAATTTTAACCACATCCAGACCCCCAGAAACACAACTGCTGAGATACTCTGCAGCTGTCCTTAGCTGCCTCATAGCTATCTTACCAAAAATGCAACAAAGTGTTAACGTTTTAACACAAAGGCTATGGAAGAGTATCTATTAGCATTTTTCTTATAAAGCATTTCAAACATTTAAAATTATTTAATGGATGATGTTTTTCACATTTTGTCTGCAATAGAGGAGAGAAAAGTTGGACTATGAAAATGTAAACAATGATTAAAGCCTAAGGGGACAAATAGGGGTGGACAAAAGGTGAAATGTGGGGATGGAGGCGGACTAGCAAAGGGCAATGTCTACAGCTGTGTGAACATTTTAGTAAATTAAAACTTAAATGAAAAAGATAGACCTGTTTCCACAGCACATTTAACCAGATTATTTCACGGGTTAAAACACATTCAATATGAACACTCACCATTTTCTCAGGAAAAGAGACAAGGCAAGGATATTTTGGGTTGATGTTTCCAAAGCATGTGTTAATTCTGTTGAATGAGAAGAGAGTACAATTAATCATAATCAAACTTTCACATTTGGCTGATCTGAAAACATTATTTCAAAGCAACAAACCAATAGTTCATCTGTCTATCTGAGTTTCCTCAACATCATGCACTTCTCAACATTGCAAAGGCTGCAGGAACAGAATGGTGGCAAACTATTGGCATTGGCATCTCTGCATTAAACATCTGCACACATAAAATAATTCTCCCATTATTTTTTAGTGATTCAAACCTCCGTGTCAATTTGCTTTCCTTAATTGCTTTTTTATTTCATTACCAAGACTTTTTAAAGTAATTCATAGTATGCAGCAGTGTTTGAAGATGTTTGTCATCTTAAGTAGCTTTTTCTTTCACTTACCACTCAGAAGCCAAAAGAAATTCGAACATACTAAGTAAAACACTAGGGTTTTAATAGATGTAATTAACAGAGAGATAATGCTTGAGGACTTAACCATTCATTCATCCATCCATCTACCCATCTGTTCCACACACTTTTTTGAGAAATTACTTGACATTTATGTTAAGATAATGAAATGTCTTAGGGATTTCCAGATTTAGGAGAAAAAATACATGAACAATAATGGTAATTGAAGTCTGAGAAATGTTAGATTAGAGACTGGAGCATAGCATAGGAAATAAGAATAAAAACTTCCAGTAGAAGACACAGCTCGTCTTGTATGCACTATTCCTTTTATTCCAATATAAAAGTCTGTATTTCACCTATCACTCAGGATTCAGTTCAGACTTTTTTTGAAAATTAGATACTAGAACACTGTTTTTCTTAACTGTGGGTCATAACTCCTTTGGATGTCAAATGACCCTTTACAGGGGTCATCTAAGACCCTCAGAAAACAAAGATATTTACATTATGATCCATAACAATAGTAAAATTACAGTTAGGAAGCAGCGATGAAAATAATTTTATGGGTGGGGGTCACTACAACATGAGGAGCTGTATTAAAGGGTTGAAATGTTAGGAAAGTTGAGAATCCCTGGACTAGAAAGAGTTATAAGGACACTTGTATCAACTCACATAACTTTTCACTGGTGACTACTCAGAATGGTGATTCCATTTTATTTCGTGAGTGTCCATAGTAGGTTTTTTCATTCAAAAATATGAGAGGAAAATATATGAATCCCACCTTGAGATAATCCCATATTTAGCTGGAAAGATTAATTTATTAATAACCACAATATAAATATAAAATAATATATTATTTATAATACACTATAAATAATAATATACTATAATATAAATATGAAAAGCCAAATGTTAATGTTTTGATGGGGCCAGATATAGGTCACATCAGTAGAAAACAATGAGACAAACTTGGACAAACATGTAGGGACACAGCAGCTTTTTGAATGTCAAACTTAGAAATGCATAATTTGGTCTTGAGAGATGGCTCAGCATTTAAGAGCACTGGTTGCTCTTCCAGAGAACCCAGGTTCAATTACCAGCACCCACATGGTAGCTAATGATCATCTGTAATTCCAGTTCCAGAGGATCCAACACCCTCATACACACATGCAGAAAAAACACCAATGCACATGAAATAAAAATAAATGATTAAAAATAAAAGAAATCATACTTTGTCTGTAATACCTGAGGAATAAGTAAGCATTTTTAAATTTCTGGAATGATATTATGATGTTGTTAACTGAACATAAAAATGTTAAGGTATTATTTTTAACATATTAACATGTCTACTATTGTTATCCTTATTCAGCTCAAACTATAGGCAACTAAAGAATGCTGAGAATGAGAGAAATAGTCTTCCTAATAAATAGCACATGTGTTGGTCAGCTTGAAAACATCATACAAGTAACATTATACAGACTGAGAAGGTTTTATTAATATTTAGGAATATATATATGATGCTTATGACAATAAGCAATGAAAATGCCATAAATTTTAAAGGAAATAAAGGGTATATATTTGGAAGGACTTTAAGAGAGAGAAGGTGAAGAGGCAATGATGCAATTATATTATGATCTCAAAAATAAAAGAAAATTTAAAATATAAACAATTGCAATGATATATACAAGAATTCTAAGCTGAAATATTTAAAATACTCTGGACAGTTTAGAATTTAATGTAAAAAAGTATAGTTTTTAAAGAATTTATTATTATGAAGAGCTAAACCACATCAATGACAAGAAGGGGCTGATAACTTGAATAAAGATGAAGGGGGGGACATCGATGGAGCTTGTGAACAGTATACCAGATAGACCTGGAGACCTCAGAAAAATTTCACCAGTCCCTACATAGGGAGGATAACTGAACAAACTCAAAACAATAGGAATCTAATCTAATAAAAGAAAATGGCTAGTACTTATCAGTTTTGTAGAAATATAAATGATTAAAAAACTTCCTTGAATATGTAAAATATTCTGGACACCATACTGACTGACTCATTCACATAGCCCATATGATTCTGACTTTGAGTAAGTTCTGCATTACACTCATTTATTTAGTGCATGTGTGTGCGTGTGCGTGCGTGTGCGTGTGTGTGTGTGTGTGTGTGTGTGTGTGTGTGTGTGTGTGCGCGCGCGCACGCATGTGCATGTGGTGCAGGGGGGTGGACCAGAGGAAAGCTTTCAGGTTCTGATTCTCTCTTTCTGCCATGTGGATCTCAGTGGTAGAACTCACTCAGGTTGTCAGGTTTTGTGGCTAGCACCTTCACCAGCTGAACCATCTTGACAGTCTTCTCTCCCTTTCAATGATCTTTACTTTTAAAAAGATGAACAGGTTGTACTTAATCCACAGATAATGAAATTTATATAAAAATAAATTGCATGGCCTGATGAATGCTTCACAACTGTCAAACAATACAGCTCAATTTCAAAACCAAGATTTGTCTGATTCTAAAGCAAAGGTTAGCCTGTGGCTAAATCCAACCACCACCTACTTTGTCAACAGCCTTCTAGCAGCACAGCCACTCGCATCTGCGTACACATATAGATAGATGATGACAATGATGAAGACAGATAGATATATAGGTAGATAGGTGATAGGTAAATAGATTGATTGATGACAGATAAATATACATATGTAATATTCATCTATTTTCACCAGCAGTGTTAAATAGTACCAACAAAAATACCTGGTTTCTAAAACCTTTATCATCACTGTTTTACCTTATAGTCCTCAGTAACAATCATTGAGCAAATAAGTATATACTCTCAGGATTCTAGGTGTTGACTGAAGTTTTAAACCTCACAACAGCTCACACAAGTGATAAACTGTCAGACACTTGAGACAACAAAGATGCTTGTGACTCTAGCAATGAGAAAAGCCTTGAGCTTCCCTGACCCTGACCGGATTCACCTTCAATGGCACGGCTAGACCTTCTAGACCATGACTAGAAGATGCAACAAGGGTTTTCCTAGCACTGCATCCCTTCCTCACCTTAGGTATGCATGATCTAGAGATCTTTCCAAGCAAAGCCACTCAAACCCTTTACAGAACTTCCTACTGTCAGATGCAACTACAACAAAAATTCAATGCAGTCATATGTAAATGACACCTGAGATAATTCTTTTAGATAAAAAGTGATTCTATAAATATAAGATTATGGATTATAAAGCTATTAAATAAATTTTATAAATAAATTCAAATTATAACCTGTTTAGGATGCCAAGAAGAGTCTAAATTTCAAAGGAAGTGGCACTAATTAGATGAAAGGAGAGAAAACAAACTCTGCTAAGTGGACCTTTCAGGCAATGTTGGTACCTCTTTCTTCGACCTTTCCCTCTGAAACCTTTGCCTGCTTCAGGAAAAATGCTGAGACGAGGAAATGGAAACAGGAAGTTTTGAGAATGACACATGTTTGAAGAGGCCTGTGCTATGATCCTCGCTGCCTTCTTGACTCATTGAATTGCCCTCAAAGGCTCAGAAGGAAAGTGTTCCTGAAGACTGAGGGAAAGAAAGAGGCACTTTCTACTATGCCCTACACCCAAGTAAGAAAAGCCCTGTAGCTGGCTCTACATATGGGTTGCTGTACAGCATTTCCTTGAACTTGATGCCATAAACATCAGGGTTTTTTTTTTTGCTCGTGGGTTATTTAAGTTAAAAATTTAAGTGTGAATACTGAGTAGTGCCAGTTTCTACTCTTGGGTCATCAATATCCTCATCAGAGATAAAAACTTGGACTTTGCCAATAGAATACAGGACTTTGCCAAGTATTCTTAATTATACATTTCTGCCAGCACTATCACAAATAGTCATAGAAATGGGACTTACTTTTCTAAAAGTAGCAACACTAATCACTATCACAGTCAAATATTCATGTTTGTTCTCCCCACCATGTCTTCTATGTAATAAGGTTTGGAGTTCTATTTCTTATCAGAGAACAATGTTGAAATTAACGCCTTGTCCTTCACCAGACATTAAAAACAGTGAGAGCCATCCTGACCTTTCTACTTCATTTCAACCAGGTCAACTTTCATCAAGCTGATCAATACCCAATGTTTAAAGTTTTCTTGTTACCAGCTTTTAGATGCAAAGCTTCTAGGAAATCCTGTGACTTTAAATGCTGACATATTCCAAAATCTCTTTATATACCTCTCTATCCCCAAATTCTTTTCCATTAGATTCAAACCACCATATCCAATGTACCATCATCATTAGATTGTGTGGACCCATGTATTGCCGCTTACATTTCTTTGGTTTCCTCTTTGGATCTTTTTTTTGCATATTAGTTATTTAGCCTGCTCTGTATAACCTCTAGTCATTTTCCCACAAATTAAAGCAAAATACACTCTAATTGATCATTTCAAGAGTTTGATATGCTAAACCAATAAAACAAATTATATAGATACATTTTTTCAAACTTAAACCTCTTAAAAGTATAGAAAAAAACAGCTTCTGTTTGGGCACTTTACTTAGATATCAAAGAAAAATAAAAAGTAATGTTGTCTACTTGATGGGCCAATATACCCATGTATGTGCACATACACATGCTGTAACTTGGTGCTTCCAA